TGATGTCATGTCTTCGAAGAATAACGCGCCTGCACTAGTAATAGTAATTGACGCCGAAAGATAAAAGACACGCTTGACAGACGGTGATCTTTTGAAGACATATCAATATAAAATCCAGAAAAACACGAGGGGAACGTCCTCATACGGGGATCTAGTGATGACCGAGGACGGTCAGTATTATAGTGAGGGGGAGATGATACGGAGTGTAACAATACACCCGTAAAAATGCGAATTTTAGCGATTTCTCCTATAAAACCTCCTATAGTAGAAATACAGTCACATTGATCATAAGGATCGTTAGACGCAACCCGGTCTAGTCGATTAAAGTTTACATCCGAGAAATGTGCACGCCTTAGACAGTAGGAATTGTGGTCGGTTCGTGACCGAATCACCTCAATATACTCGAAGTCTAATAAAAGGCTACACTACCATGAAATAGTACGCTACCGAGTGTTCTAGAGTAAAAACACCCCCGCACAGGGTGTTGGAGTTTACACCAAACCAGGGTCTCACTTTATTATGGATTAAAAGATATTAATTCTAAAAGATAAACGCGCGAGCGTAGAAACTCGACGCGTACCTGACGCGAGAAGTCATTCGGTCACGTGCTACGAAGCATGATCCAAGAAGTCATGTGGAGAGACGCATCACGCGCATCACGCGCATCACGCGCATCAACACATCACAAATCATGGCATCATTGACCCAAGAAAACTAATCTTCGTGAAATATTCCGAAGCCTGCCAAAAGAGAAAAAACTATGAACGATTTGCCGTGCGGTCCGAGGCCCGGGCATAGTATCTAATAATAGAGAGAAAATCACTAAGCGGACCGTTCGTCTCGGCTGAACCGATCGTGAAAACCGTTTACGGCGATTCCCGTGTACGCATCAATACTGATGCGTCGCGTCGCCACAATAGAGAAAACACTACGAAAACTTAAAAGAAGTCAGCTCAGTTGTGCCACGCACAATCGAGCCACTTCAAACCTTTACTAAAAATTCAGTATTAATTCGTCCGACCTCTCGGACAAAGCACGGACATATAAATATAAATAGAAGACATAGAATAGTATAAAAAGAGGACGCGCGCAGGCTGAAACGCAAGGAATTATCCCCCGCGTTGACCAGCTGTCGCACTCCCAGTAGCATCTGAGGTAGTGGATAAGTTTGTAATCAATTTAAGGACTTTTCTTCGCAGACATAAGTAACGTGTGCCCGGAACCAGTGTGTTAAGTGGGGATCACAAAGCTTTTGTAAGGTTGTCTCGTCAATTAGTAAGAGAGCTCTCTACTATTACCGAGGAAT